TCTTTATATCTAATTAACTAAGCAGTATAATTGGTCATCATGATAGCACCTGAATGAGTCTGCTATATCCAAAACTAATATTGGGTTGAAAGACAAAACCAACATCCTTTTTTTTCTTCCCAACATTTTCAACACTCAACTGCATATAATATTATTTAAAAAATAAACCCTGCCCACCATTTGATATGGTGTGAATGCATATACAAAGCGGGAGAGGGAGGGGGAGGTTTGTACATACAGACCAAAAGCATTTTCAGACTTAGGACCTTTTTAATCTATATAAAAGCAAAATTCAAGGGACTTATTATTGGGGTAATCAAGTGCCTGTATACAGTAGCTGTGGATACCCCTTCATGTTATACTCAGAACATGTTAATCTCCTGATTAACATTCTATGTACATTTTTGTATAACTGAATTGAGTTAAACAGTAAAACCTGTTTTACTTAATTTCTGTCTTTACTACCAGACTGGCTCACAAGTGCCTTGATTGAAAGAAATAAAAGTAAATTGAAAATCACCCCACTTTCTCCCCACAACAAAAACGCCCCAGGACCGTTTGCAAACAAGCTGAAGGGTGTGGTTATTTTTAAAAATGTTAACTTCGCAGCCAGGGTGGGGTGTGGGGGGTAGAGTTGCTTTTCTGCTCAGTAACACACCAAATCTCCCGATAGATTAGATGGATTCAAAAAGCCCTGTGAAAGAGCATCTCGCAATCCAAGGATGTGTACTTGGCTGGGATTAACTTGTTAACTGGGGTGAGACTGTCAGTTCCTTTTCAAGAAACTCACAATTCTGAGTCAACCTAAAGCTCCCTGAAACTCTGGTTTATTTCTTTCCCATTTGACCCTGGTCATCTGCCAGTATTCTGGCTATCATTTGGCATACAAATTAAAAAACAAAACAAAAACCAAGCTTTCTAGGTGGTGATTGAACCTAAAAGTCAGTGATTTTTTAAAAAAATCATGAAGTTCTATGTTTTAAAGTATGCTGTATGTTTTAAAGTAGTAAATAACTCCCCCCCCCCAAACAGCTCTGGAAATTACGGATTGATGAGGAAGCTGAGAATTATAATTCTTGCTACCCAATACCCTGGTTCATTTTGCCCCCTGCCATGAGGACAGTAAAGGATGCAATAAACCAGCATTTCTCAACCTTAGCAACTTTTAAGATATGTGGATTTCAACTCCCAGAATTCCCAAATTCTGGGAGCTGAAGTCCACACATCTTAAAGTTGTCAAGGTTGGGAAACACTGCTATAAACCATAAAGACATGAGTATGTGAGAGAAAATGGTTATTTTAACCTGAAAGAAATGTCTTAATAAAACAACAAGGCAATTAAACATCACCAAAAAGTTATTTTCTTGTTTTGATAAGTGACTGTAAATTATTTAAGGGATTTAAATTTTAAGGGAGAATATTTTCAAATCCCACTGGTTGCAAATCAGCATAAAAATGAAGATGCTGAAACTCCTGACTCCGGATCAGACAGTGTACTCTCATAGTTATTCCCAGGGGTGGCTGTTGGAGGGATGGGTAGCCACCATCTTGACTTTTTTGACCTCCCCATGGATGCCCTTGTTTGTTCATGGCCTAATATTGCCACTGTAGTTAGGCAGGGATTTTTCATGTCTCCCAGTATAATAAACAACATTGGTCAGCTATTTACCTTCACTTCTGCTCATGTTCCCCTCTGCATTTCAACCTTGCTTTGCTGAGTCTTCCTTCTGCTACCATTTTCCTCAAGAGCAAGCCACTTTCAAGTGCCATTGTGTAAAATGTAGATTCTTTTTATCTTCCTGCAGGATATTACCCACACCTGATAATTCCTTGGAAACAGGCATTTATTAATGGAAGCAGATGGTGTTTGCTTGTTTTTTTGCTCTTTGGAATCTCTTTTTAGTTTTTGCTATTGCCGAGCTAACACACAAACACAGAAGCGAAGGAGGGGCAGAAACACTTGGTTGTCCAGTGGCATAAAAACAAAATAGCACCACAGTGAAGTCTTGGTGTGCTTGCTCCAGGATCTGACCGGATCAGGGGTGGGCAATGAAGGTCCCCAAAAGGTGCATTTTGGCTCTCACTACACTCAAGATGAGAGACAACGTAGGAACGGGAAGGGATTCTGACTTGTTGGAAAGTCCATGGGCTTGCGAGGGTGGTCACCCCAGAATGGTTGACTGGGAGCACAGAGATTGTGTCTCAGTTTATTATAAAAATATTGAGGCCTTTTGGAAATTGGATGGCTTTCTAGGTTCATAAAAAGCATTGCTTGAGTGTGTGTGTAAACTTGTTCCCTCTTTTGATCTTGGAAAGCAAACATGCTTTGTATTAAATGGGGGGCAAATCTTGTCGATGGTTCATTTTAGTAAGGTAAGGAGGGAAGGTAAATTAGTTCAGCAACACTGTAACCTCTCCTTGTTCAAGCCTTGGACACTTCCCTAGTGAGATAACAAACCGTTTCCTACATTAGTAATATATTTTGAGATCATGTTCAATATATCCCAGGCTACTTTGACACCCTACCTTGTATAGGACTTTTTTTTTAACTTGCTGAAACTTTTTTTTGGCATTTTTATTTCATGACTGATCACAGTTCTTCAAGCAATAGGATTGTGTGCTCTTCCTTGCAATCTCTCTCCAGGAATGTTGAAAGAAAGACCAATTTTCCCTTCCTACTGAAACCTTGATCACCACCTTGTACCTCCACTGGATTTCCCCAACTGACCCTTGATTATATTACTTGATCTGAAATTGCTCAGGATTGTAGGGCATCAAGAGAAAGACTGCAGATCATAAATGCTATTGCTGTTTCTGAAAAACGCAATGATTTGAGAGAAATGCTTCAGGATGGGCAGTCACTGAAATCTTTGGCAGCACAGAACAAATTGCTTTTACAATATTCTGGCCCATCTCTGAAATACAAGCTTTGTAAGCTCTTCTGCCTTTGAATGAAATCGGCATTCACCACAGCTGTGGCACCATCTTTAACTACTGCTTTGACTTTAGATTTCAAATCATGTTAGAATAATTTCACCCATTGAAGAACAAGAATATTTTCTCCAGAAAGGGTTTGAATTGACTATCTCTACCTAACATCCATGAACCTAGAGATCTGCCCTCTGCTCTTCGTGGAGTGCAGGGAGGGTGAAAGAATGTGCAGAACCGGGAACGAAGGACTATTTTTCTCTACTGACACAGTTGTTCTTTCCATAATATCATCTTCAATTGCCTTATGCAAAAAGTGCTTTTCTTTTAAAGCTGGTGTCGGGCGCCAGAGCAGCTGGGTAAGGCAAATGAGAGGCAGTGAGGTGATTTTTCCGAATGGCATGGATGCATCTGAACAGCTGAGGTCAAGGAGTTCACACTAGAGTTCCAGGCTTGGCTTTGTCCTGTCCATACCACTGGACATCTGATAGTTCTGGATAAAGGGGAGAATCCAGGTAGCAGCTATCACTGTAGCTCCTACAGAGAGAGGGGATGAAAGTTCACATTAGTGCATTTACCCCAGACAGCCGAGGTGGTGAGTTCAACGTTCTCTCAGTTCGTTTCAAAAATATACCCTTCACTTGTGACTTTTTCAGTGAAACATCTCATTTTGGAGGGTACAGAGGACAGTTTTGTCCTACACAGTTTAACCTATCAATTCACCAACAATTCAGACTATTTGTTGACTGATACTCTAAAGTAGCTACACATTACACTGTAGCATAAATGTGCTCAAGTTGGCCACATCCCACATGGAAAGAAAAAGGCAGATCCCATGTCTCCATCCTCACTTCTAGATCCCATGATGTTCTTCTCATCCCAAGCTTATTCCCATCAACCACACCCTGAGTACTTGTGGACATTTCAAATCAAAGCTCCAGACTGCAGTTGCTGGCTGTTTTTTATCACCTAAGAAATACCTCTGGGGCTTACATGGAGCCCAGAGCGATTTTTGGAAATCAAGATTTTGCCTTGCTTTGTATCAGGTTTACTTCCTAGTTTTTTTAGAAGGTTTTTATGTTTTTTAATTAAAGTCTTAAAAACAAACTAATAAAGAGACACAGGGAGTCTGGCAAAAGCCAAGACAGATTGTATGGAAACACTAGTACCCACATGGTGGGAAGAGAGCTTGTTTCACTTGCAGTTGTCCACCCTTCAAACCACCCTTCTGGTACTTCTAGGAAACCACTTCAGAACAATGTTGCACGCATAATCCCTCTCTTTCCTCCATCCCCAGTTAGGTTCTATATAAATGCAGACATGTTCAACATTTGGGAGAGATGGCCGTAGGAGCCAAGAGCCGAAGGACATGCCGAAGAAAGGATGAGCAAGAATGGAGAGGTGCATGCAAGCCAAATTCATGCATTCCGTGGCTGAAACATGCACATGGTGGTGTTTCATAGTTGGTTTGGTTCACTTCCATCAACAATTATGCTACCAGGTCACTGATGGCACTGTGTGGCAGAAGTCCTCCTGCCAACCTAAGAGCAAATCTAGAGAATGTTCTTTTCATTTCTATTGCTCCTATGCTACGCAAAACATTTCACCTGCTAAGTTTCTTTCTGCCAATCTTAGGTGACCCTGGTTGTGGCCCCAGCAGGACCCCAATCCAGAGCACTACATGCAATTTACTCAAGAGAAGAGAAGAAAATGGTGGCTTCTCTATGCAGGAGCCAAAATTGACCTGACCTCTTACTTATTCCCACTCTATATTGCAGATTCTGGACTATAAAGCTATTCTACAACAGGCCAGAAAAAACTACAAGATTTCTCCATGCCATTAATGGGCCAATCTTTGAAAAACTTTGCTCTTTTTGAAGAAAATGATTTTAGTCAGAGCAACTAAATCTTGTAGTCCTATAATGACTAGCAGCATGCTGTGGCCTTTAATAGACCAGAGCCCAGTTAACTAAATATGTGTCTGTTTAATTACATATAATCCCTTATAAATTTGTCGTCCTCTACATGGGCAAGATCAGAAAAAAATTAAATGCAACTATAGACTATGCCAGTAACAATATGGAAATCTTATAATCACAATACCCCCCCCCCCCGACTTACTGAAAAGTTCTAAGCTTGAAAGGAGCCTATTTCCAGCTGAGAACATTTTTGGGTAAGATCACAGCATAGTTTAAATCCTGTAAGTAGCTGTGTTAAATCTGAAACATTTTGCACATCTCTGCAGCCTGATAACCCTTCCAATGGTACATATACTTGCATAAAACACATTTAAGCTTGGGTAGAATTCTTAGCCTGAATCTATCTGTCTTCACAAATTCACCTTATCCAACAGGGTTACAGACTAGAGATCTTGCCAACCTGACTGAAGTTCAATTATTGCTCAGAATCCTTCCCCGCCCCCCACCAATTTATAGTTAACTTGGCTGCCACATAACTTCTGAAGTAGCTGTTTTATTTTCTTGATAAAGCTGTGGGATAATTTTATAAAAACTGACGTAAACAATTACAGCAGTTAGCTGTAGCTTTTCAACCTGCCTGTCCCAAAAAACCTTTCGAAGAAATGGAACAAAGGAATCCCCTTCTGACAAATGGAAAAGCAGGGTATACGCTTAATAATAAATAAAAGAATAAACACAGTGAATGGAAATGTCAGGGAGTCACTCCTTTAAGAGCGATGCGGCAGGCAGAATGCACAAAGGAGCCTCTGATTTTTTTTAAAGGTTTGAAGGGGATCTGCCACGTATCAAAGCTGAACCCTTGACAGTGGAAGGGACTCAATGCCTGTGGATCAGTGGGTCCAACATCTTTAGGGTCAGATAGAGGTAGGTGAAGAACATGGTAGAATTGCTTTGCTGCTTCCCTTAAATCACTCCCCTACACATTTTCCAACCCAGATTTCTTTTTTTTCAGAATCTCTTCCTCCATGGACATTGACCTCATTGTAAAACTCAATAAAACTGGTTATATTTTTACGAGAAAAACAACACCCTCCCCCCTGGTGACCACACCTTTGCTCATTCCTAATCCAAATCCCTATACAGTTCCGATGTCCTCTCCCGCCCGAGAAAAGTTATGCAAAGTACGAGACAAAAGGAAGAAGGCAAGACAATGCAGCAGGGAGGAAGTCTGGTTTTAGGGTAGAAAAAAATCCCCCTCACTATACCTCTAGTCATCAGTACTTGGTTGAGCTGGAGAATGAGACTCATCCATAGTGGGTGAATTGTCTCTGGCATCTCTGAGCAAAGCAGAACCAAAGCAGAGCGAGAAAGAGAAAGGGGAGAAGAAATTGGAGATCAGCTATGTTAAAGAAAAGCAGGGACACAAAACTTTGTGAAGAACTTATTCACCCCATCGGAAGCGAGCTGAGGAATCATCTCAGAAGACAAAGGGAAGTTAGTGACACAGGGAAATCTGCTAAGGAGAGTTTGGGGCCCTGGGACTTGTGTGGTGAATTGGTGAAGGGTGTAGAAGCAAAAAAAGGAAACGATCGTTTCTCTGCCAGAGGATACAGTGCAGTTCCTAGAGCAGTGTTTCTCAACCTGGGTAACTTTATCTTTTAGTAATCATCTTCGCTTTTTGTTGCTGTGATCTGATGCTGCTTTTGCTGCTGTTCTAAATGTTGGCCATGACCAGCTCCCGATTTTTATCTTGCCCACTGTGTTGTTCTCTCGATGGGCCTTACATGAAGTTTTACTTACTTTCATAGTTTCAACTGCTTGTACACCATTCAGAAAACTCCTTTGCTGGGCAGTAAAATGGTGTAATAGATAAAACACGGAGATCAAACACTGGCCCTTATGGGACGGTGATATTTATGGCCCTAGCGTCATCTGTGGTGGAACGGGTAAAAATTGACCATTTGCTTCAAGCAACGTAAAAACATCACTGTGAATCTTAAGCCAATTCCTGACACAGGCACACTGTGGCTTTTCTTATAGTGATAATTGTGGAAATCAGTCCAGCCCACAGAAATATGAACTAGATCGTTATTTTGGTTGATTCCTTTTTTTCCTTTCTTCTTTACAATTAAATGGAGACTCTAGCTATTGGTGCATCAGCATAAAAAATCAGTGTAAACGCCTGAGTAACCTATATAGTATCTACAAAAGGTGGGCTAGCAACTGGAATCCTTGCCCAGCCTTGCCCTCTCCTTGTTGCCCCTTCCCATGGGCCCAAATACTCACCCAGTTTGCCAAGCTAAGATGTGATGTGGACAGCTGGGGGGCAAAGACCCACAGTCACCAGATGTGGTTGTTGAACTCCTCTGATTGTGAGGTAAGGCAGCTGGAAAAACAATTGACACATAAAGTTGATGCTATTATAGCTGTATCATTGGAGCTCTTGACCCTGATCCCAAACAGGGGGAGACCCTGGCAAGTTCTTTCTTCCAGCTAAACAAAAGCCAGCGCAATCTTTTGCCATCACGGTTCCAGTCCCTCTCCGTTTCCTGCCTGGGTGCCTGTGCATCCGCTCAGGCATCTGTGGGGAGGGGTCAAAATGGCAGCTATGACCGTACGATAGAAGTCCTGCCCCTCTTTCCATGCATTGTAAAAGGGAGGGGCTTTGATTGTGTGATTGCCACTGTCATCTTGACTACTCTGACTCCCTCTGCAGATGATCCTGCATCCACTCAATTTTAATAAAAGGGCTGAATTTTTCTCTAATGTGGCTTATTTTTAGTAGCAACAAGAGCAACAATCTCTCTCCTATGGCCTTCATTTCAGGCAGCTGAGATAATATTAAAAACTTCAGCCCAGCCACTTTCTGCTGTTGTAATCCAGTTGGTTTACAATTGGTATACAGGTAGTCCTCGCTTAATGACTATTTAATGATGGCCTTGGAAAAAGTGCTTTATGACCTGTACTCACACTTACAACCATCACAAACTGTCGCACCACCCCCCGCAGTCACGATTTCTGACTTTTTATGATAGTCGTTAAGTGAATCACCATGGTCGTTAAGTGAATCCCAGCAAAAAAGTCCACTGGAGAAGCTGGATACATTTAATAACCACATGATTTGCCTAACGACCACATGATTCACTTAACAACCACGTGATTTGCTTAATGACTGCAGTGATTCGCTTACCCATCATAACTTCGGGTCTGGTCACGTGGTGATTCGCTTAACAACTGCCCTCGCTTAATGACCAATTTTCCAGTCTCTATTGTGGTAGCTAAATGAGGACTACCTGTAACTTACGTTTAAGTATAATGAATGCCAAGAGGCACCAGCCATGCAATGCATTCTGGACTTTGTAGAGCATAATAACCTTAGAAGCAATAATTGACTTTTGGAGGCTCAGCTTTTTGCAAACAATGCCTTCAGGGCAAATATACATAAACTATATGTAACCACCTAGAATTTCTCCAGATTGATAAATCACACAAATGAATAAATTGGTCCTGACTGTATGTCTCTAAAACTAAAAGTAACAAAAGGAAAACATTCCTATTTTATTTTTGCAGTTCCCTGAGCGCTTTGTGATTCCATTGTTTCATAGCAAAATTAAATCTTGTTGAGGTTACCCTTAAAAAGCAACGAGCTTCAATCTTAATTTGCCACATTTAATAATTATACATTCAAGTACAGGTAGGTTGCAATTAGTGTGTGTTCGAGTAACGTGATATGTGATTTAGTGCAAATTGTGAACTGATACCAGATTGTGTTTAATGCAATCCAAAATTCAGTTAATGCAAGGCTAGCATGTGTACAACTGAGGCTAGCAGATGTGCCATTGCAGTTCGGATTTCAGACACCGCTAATCTGTGTGTGTGCAAAATGGAGAAAAGGAAGATTCCGTCAGAGGAAAACAGTACAAGTTTAACGCTGTGACTTTGTTAAAAATAAATTTAAGTTGTATGTATATTCTTTTAACCTTTTACTGTTATATTTCATTAATAAACAAAGATTTATGTTTAAAAATCTTTCATTGCCTATTTCCGTCAAACTGGAACCAATTACCCTATTTTCCATAGACAGATCACTCCGAATAGTGCGAATTCGAACCACACTAATCGAGACCTACCTGTACTTTTGAAGAACCACAGGAATATTCACTGAAATAGTCCCCCAACTCCAGTCCAGTATGAGGGCATGATACAATAACAGCTCTATCTGTACTCTGCAAACTCACAGAAAGGAGTATCTTTTATGTAGAGCCGTCTGAGGTAAGCATATGATGAATAGTGGAATGCCATATTGGCAATACTAGCTAAGATTCTTATTCTAGAAATTCAACATTAAAAAATGTTGAATTCCTAAACTTGGAAAGGAAACTTAACTGCTGGGCTGGCTATCGTAATAACCCCAGGATCCAAATGACCAACTACTCCTAGGCCCAATGTAGAAAATAGTTAAGTCAGATGGGTGCAAGCATAAATGCACGCATCCTTGCAGAGACTGTATTCCACGAACCGTTTTCACCTGAGAAAGAAGAGAGGATGCATGCAGCAACTTTTAAAAACCTTCCATCTGTTTTGGGCGGGATGAATCGTGCACGATCTCTCTGGATTGGATGGCTGGGGAGGGCTGTATGAGCATGTCTTAGGACAATATTAAGAGCCATAACCAGAATTCCTTTGCCCCTAGGAACATGGCAAATGAAATGATGCACAGATGGAACTGCGACTGCATCATTGTGGCTGCCATCTTGACTTTTTTGACCCTGCGGGCACCCCCAAACAGTACAGAAGGTCTTCCCACCGCTTCCTTCCAATACTCTTTTGACTTCCCAGTTTAGCTTGGAGCTCTGGGGCATTCTGGTGTTCTCCCATCTCCAGACCAGACGCTGCTTCACTTTTTTCAAGAAGAGTAAGGCGTTCCAGACATACGACCTGGTAGACTAATTCCCACATTAAATGTGCCCATTTTAGGCTTCTTACAATCCCTCCTCATCCCTTCTGCCCCAGCTGGCGGGCTCTGCCCCCAATTTGCTGGGTAAATAAAAGACCGAATATATAAATATTAACCGAACATAATTATTAGCTAAGATGCTGCTTGTACTTGGAGTGCATTCTTTGCTGATGATTTTTGAAAGGATTCAAGTCCTTACACATTTGAGAAACTCTAATTACAGCAGTGGCACCAATCTTAATCTGCTTCCAGCTTTAAACAACCACTCTTAGCGTTTAGCTTCTTATTTAAAAGAACTGACTTACTGGAGTATAATCTATGTAATATACAATGTTTTGTGTAAAAGCTGGGGCTGACACAGAATAGTGTATTTGAGATGGTGGCAAAATCAGAATTCGAAGCCACCTGGTCTCAGCAATGCCCTGACTTTTGATCTGAGGAGTAACCTCTTTGTAGGAACTCATCTGATATGCAGACCACGCAGACAGGCAGCTCCTCATCATCAAGGGATGGCCCTTGAAGACCACCCAGAAGCTTCAACCAGTCCAGAATGTGCCAGTGTGAGCAGTGATGGGCGTGCCTTGATAGGCCGATGTGACACCTCTGCTTCGTGAGCTGCACTGGTTGCCGGTTTGCTTCCAGGTGCAATTCAAGATGCTGGTTGTTACCTATTAAGCCCTACGTGGCATCGGGCCTGGTTACTTGAGGGACTGCCTGTCTCCCATAACATCTTCCCAGCCAATTCGGTCTAGCAGGGTGAGCACGCTCTGGGTTCCTTTGATTAAACAATGCCATCTCTCGGGACCCCGGAAGCGCGCCTTCTCTGTAGCAGCGCCTGCCCTCTGGAACGAGATTCCCCCTGAGATCTGGGTGGCCCCCACTCTGCTGTGTTCAGAAGAGCCGTGAAGACCTGGCTCTTCATCCAGGCCTTTGGCGAGCAAGAGTGAGACCCCTCGCTTCATTACGCTTCCCTCTTTCATCTTTGTGTTTTATGGATTTTATTGTAATTGTGAGCTGCCCAGAGCCATTGAGAGTCAGGTGGCATACAAGTTTAATAAACCATCATCATCATCATCATCATCATCATCATCATCATCATCATCATCATCTTCCTATTACCAGCAGACACTCTTTACGCACACTGCCCCATCAGAGGGGTCCTGGAATGATTCCTTTAAATGCAACCTCAACCCAGAATCTCTTCCGCTTACCTGACGTTGCTTTGCACATTGGAGGCATCCTGGTTACCTTACTGTGCGCCACAAAGGTGCTTTGAGAGGAGCTGCTGTATGGGGAGCTGCTATCCGATGAGGTGGAGCTCGTGTGCGACAACCGGCTGTGGTCCTTGTGGGTGGCTGTGGACCGCTGGTACCATAGTCTGAGCTCATCTGACACCACAGTCCTCCCTGATCCCTTTTCGTGACCCTCTCTCCCCAAAGAAGGAGTCCTTATGATCTGGGAGCGGGAGGGAGTCAACCGTACAGAATCCACTTCATCTCCGTGCCAGTTCTCCTTGAACATCCCCCCCGCCGTGTACGAATTGGACGTTTTAAACTGTGCTTTCACGCTGTAGTGTCCCTCCTGGTCGTTTTCGAGACTGCGCACCACCACGGGCGTCGAGCTCCCTTCAATGTACAGGGGGTACTCTTTGATCCTGTACTGGGAGGAAGGCTGGCTTTGGCTGTGCAGGTAGACCCCGTGATGGCCGGTCCCGTTCCCGGCAGCCAGGTTGGGCATGCTGCCAGAGTTGGAGCAGACCAGGTTTCCGGTCGACTTGTGCCTCTGCCTCTGGCGCTCGCGAGCTTTGGAGGGCGAGTCCTCTGCCAGGGTAGAATAGTTGGCGTTCATCTGGGCCGGGTAGTAATGCTCGGAGCTGGAATGGCTGGTGCAGGAGGAGCAGTCGTCCATGGGGTCTGACCCGTTACTGCTACGAGTCCTAGGGGTGTAGAAGTCGGGGCTCCCGGTCTCGTTTTCGGAGCCGACGAGCCTCCCTTGGGACTCCAAACTAGAACTTCGGTGTCTAAAGTGCTGAGCTAAACTATGCAGTCTCGTAGGGCTGATGTCCACTGATCTGTAAGCCCAGAAAAACAGAAAGGGGAAAAAAAAAAGAATTAAGACTCTAGACATTACTACAGAAGGCAGCTCTTGGTGAAAACAGGCCACATGCCTTAAATCCCTCAACCCAAACTGGCATCCAGGAGCCACATGCAGAGTACACAGTGAAACTCAGATATGTGAAAACCTTTCAGAAAAGCTGCTTTAGTCTGTCTTTACAGTATAGGCAGTCTTCGTTTAGCGACCATAATTGGGACCGGTCACTCGGTTGTAAAGTGAAGTGGTCTCTAAGTGAAATCGTGACAGTGCTTATGATCTTACGTCAGCTCTCTTTTGCTTTACTGACCTGCGAAGGTCATAAATGCAAAGACTGGTTGGAAAGTTACTTTTCATCACCGTCTTAACGGCAAATGGTTGCTAAATGAATCAGTTGCTAAACAAGGACTACCTGTATTGGTAAGCAGAAACAATAGGTAATCAGAAACTGCTAGAGTCTGTTACATTGGGACACAGTAAGAGTGTTGCTCTTAAGTAGGCGCTGCTTGCCTCAGGACCAGCTTTTGCAGAGTCCTCTGCTTGCTTACTTGGTCCTACTCAATGATGCAGAATACTGTCATCCAGAAAGCATCAGAAAAACCAATGCCGAGCTTATGCAGGATGGAAAAGTGGGAGGAACTGCATTGCTCATTTTCCATTTTACCAAACCTGCTGGTTCATTTTATTTTCTTTGGAATCGAGGGGAAGGAACTACACCAGATGTTGAAATAGTCCAGCAGCTATTTTAGGAGCCCAGCCTCGCCTGGTGCACCGCATCATGCCTCTTCCCCGCTTCCTTCCCCTTTTTGATGACCGAGTTCAGAATCAGAAGAGAAGATTGCTGAACTTTCTCTATTGACTGGGAGAGCTGGATTTGGATTGACTCTTCCCTGTCCAGAGTTTATTTTCTGGGCTTTGAAGGAGAAGCTGTGGATAACGAAGGCTCAGAGACACATTCCTTGAACGTGTAATATGGCAGAAGGAGCATTTAAACCCTGATAAGCCTTCACAAACTGCAACCCTTTGGGGATCCAAACCATTTCCAATGGAGAGTAAATGCAACCTGAACGGGGGTTCCCACTTTCCTCCCATTCCCACAATGTGCAAACAAGGAGGGAGTCTGATGGAGAATTAGTGCCCAGGCATGTAACCAAGGCCTGAATAAATGCACAGCTTAGTGCTTGCTGCTGATGCAGAGGCAAAGCAGGATTAAAAAATTATGTATTCGTCTCCCTGCTATGATCTGCCAGTGGATAGCAAGTGCTGCTATGTGAGTGGTTGCAGAGTCTTCAGGAGCTGAAGCAGGGGGGGCTGTCCACATGCAGGATCGGTTCCCAAACATGACTGGGGAGTTCCCATCGACTGTGCTTCTGAGACAACTATGAATAAACTTGCAGTGGCAACCAAGCGTTGAAGAGAAGAGGATAATTAATACTCTGCTAATCAAACTAGTTACCGAACACTGCCTTAAGAAACCAAGCTTTTTAAAGTGAGGAATGTGAACTTTCAACTGTGAAATGATGGCAACCTCTTCCTAAATTAATTCTGTGTTTAAAGTAATATTTGGTGAATATTCACACTGGAAGAAATCAAATGAGATCTGTTAGCTTATTAGTTGTACTGTGCTCGCTAAGACATAAAACAGGAAAATACTCCATGGTTGGAAGAGACCTCATAATTCATTCCCTGCTTGACACAGGATAAAAAACATTTCAGACAGATGGCTCTGTTTGAAGACCTCCAATGAAGAGGAACATCCTATTCCACTGGTGGACAGCTCAGGAAATTCCTTCTGGTATCTAACCTGATATTCCTCCTGGTATCTAACCCTGTAGTTTCAACTCAGTAGTTTTGGTCCAGGGTGTGAAAGAAACAACTCCACTCCATCTTCTGGATGACTGTCTGAAGATTGTGATGAATCCACCCCCTTCATCTTCTCTAGACATACCCTTAGAGTTTTCCTTCTTGTGTATAACCACATACATACTTAGGTGAGTTCATTTATGAATGCTCATGCAGGAAAGGACTTAGTTCTGATTAATTCAAAAGAAATGTCTACAGAACACCTGATCAAAATGGCTAAGCATTTGGACTGGAGTGGGTGGGGCTTTTTGACTCTCCCATTCCTAGGGACAGTCCCTATAAGAAGAAATTGATGTACTGCTTTTATATTCCACCTCTCCTCTAAGTCCTTTTATAGATTTTATTACAAGAATATGCCACCAAAGCGTATTTGGTGTCCAGGAGCCATCGAAACAGACTGCACTCAAAGGTGTCTGCAGTCTCCCAATGTCACTCCATTAAAATTTTGTAATAAAGTGGGTTTTTTTGTTTTGTCTCTCAGACAAAAAATAAATTAGCAGCAAACTAAATTTTAGAGGAATGAATTAAAAATATAACCCATTCCCACCCCAAAAAGGGTGCTGAAAATGTTGGCCTCCTCCCAATGATAAATGCCCCCTCGTTGTGCGTTTTGCTCCCAGAGATAGAATATACAGTGAAAAGTGGGAAGGGTACAAAAAGCTTAGCGTGGGCTAATAGAGATGGATGGGCTCCAACCATCTAATCGATCACCCATCCAGATCTTTTTTTAGCTGAGAATTAACACAGGTTAGCTTGATTCCATGACCAACATGCCTCTTTTTCTCCATCTCTCAGCTAAATTCAAACACAATTCAGTTCAGAACAACTCTTCATCACTCTAATGAAATGTAAGCCAAAGGTATGATCTGAGATATGTACAGAAAGGGCAAAATGTTTTGAGCCCGGTGTGTTTGACCTACTGTACTCTTAGTGCTGCAGTCTTCATAGGGAAATGTTTGGGTGCTTCTTGTCCAAGGTTGGAAGGACATCCACCTTGAAAGAGAGGCTCAGCAACATCAGGATATGTCTGGTGAAGGCTGAACCTCTTGTTTTAACCTTGCCCAAAGTATTCTGAGGTTGATCTGGCCTTACTGGAAGTTCAGAACTGTGTCAGAACACTTCCAGTGAGGCTGAAACAGCCCACATTGAGCTCAGAATGTTTCGAGTACTATTTTAGTTCCATGTCTCTATTAACCTGTATTAAAAGCATTTATGCCAGGAGTCTAATAGAAGAAGAGAAACAGAGAAAATCTTGGGACGAAAGGACTCACCTAGTGGAATGCACGTAATGTGGACTGCGTACCCGTAGATCTGGTGTTGATGGCATGCTGGATTGGGTGTTCCAGTGGGGAAGATTCCTTACTGGACTGTTCTGAAGAGAGTTGCTTCCTCCACCTTCCACACAACTACCGGTGCTGGGAAATCGCTTGTGACTAATGCAAATAAACAACGACAAAGAGTTCAAAGCACAATCATTCTTTATCTTTATAAACGCCGCTCAATGGGCATGATCTCTACCTATGTACATTGATCCTTCAGGTGGACAGTAGCGAAACTTGGTACTTCTTCCCAGGTATCATCCCAACAGCTGTTACAAGAGTTTCCTCCTATGTAATACTCTCCAGATGTCTTGAGATGACAAGTTCCAACTTATCCACATGTCACCAGATTGGGGAAGTCAAATGAAAGGAATATTGCCAGACTTGCAACTGGATGGAGACTGAGAGAACATAACTGCCTAAAGCAGACTGGTGCATTCATGCCTTAGATATGGAAGATACTGATTCGAGCATTTAAAAAGGGTAGTGAAAGAAAGAATGTTGACAATTTGATCCTTGCTCTAGATGTTTGAGACTAAAACCTCTGGATGGCTGTGGGAATTCTGGACCAAAACAAAATATTGCCCCATCCATGCATAGACAGACCAATCCAGAAGATCTCTTTGATGGAACATGTCCCAGTTAGACTGACTAAAAATTAAGACATCAAGTCTTTTGGAGCCATGATGTTATTAAGTTACTCTGGCATGTGCAACAGTGCCATTTCCGTAGGCAAAACATTTGCCATCAACTAATTTGGAAGCCCAAAGTCTGTTCTTTTTTCAATTGTTGTACACCGCCCAGAGTCACCTTGTGTGAGATGGGCAGCTATATAAATATGATAAATAAATAAATAAATAAAATGTGTCTATGTACATGCTGATGTGTACCATCTAGTTTCTTTTCCCTTCCATTTAATTGTCATACACATACACACATACGCGCACACACATGTATATACATATATACATATACAGAAGCATACATACATATGCATAATTTTAGGGTATATTAGTTAGCTGCTGAATGCTGCATGTCCTTGGTGAATAATATTATTGTTTTGCTATGGGGAAAAAGCAACCCTCTTTACGTAGAAACATTAGCCAGATTAGAACTGCAGATAGCAGACAGTAGCATAGTTTCTTCCAGAGTTAAAGCCGCAAGTTATGCAGAAACCTTAGGGAATGCTTGAAAACATGTGAATGCGTATTTCCATGCATGACCATGGATTGTGCTGATAAACCTTTGCTTTATTTCTGCAGAAGAGCACTATAACATCCGATGACTGATGGAAGGACCATATTTCCTGCTACGGACTCACCTGCTGTGAGAAGAACGCTTCTTCACCTTCTCATAAGGTTCATCTAAGGAAGACTCACTCCACATTTTGGGCTTAATGGGGGATTTGTCGTAGTCATTCCTGTGATAGTGCATTTGCCGGAGACCCTCCAGGGATTGTGGAGGGGGGGGTCTGTTGTGCAAGGGGGGGCGAGGAGGAAGTCCTTTGTGAGGTGACTGTAAAGGGGATATTGTGCTGGTAACCTGGCAGTCTTCTGGAATGGAAGGAGAAGAGAATATTTGAAGTCCATTAATACTCTTTGGTTTAATTGCTTTACTGCCATCAGGGCACCTCTTTTTATCAAATGTCCGTGTCATGTCAGAAGGTGCCTAAAGATATAAATCTGACAAGGGGGCAAGTATGGGGGAAAAAGGTATATTTAATTGAGTTAGGCTCCCTAGGTGGGTCTTTACGTGTGTGGATACAGACATACAATGCATAAATAAAATATGGATATACCACCTTTTTGATGAAATAAAATAATTGAGTAATCATTCTTGATCAAAAAAGAGCCCCTCCAAGTGACACACACATTAAAGGCTGAACTGTGGAGTCCTTGGTGCTCTCTAAGCTTGGTTGTTTGCTTGCAGACATTTCATCACCCAACTAGGTAACATCATCAGGGCACCTAGCTGGGTAATGAAATGTCTGCAAGCAAACAACCAAGCTTAGAGAGCACCAAGGACTCCACAGTTCAACCCTGAGCTACATATATTCTCTCCTGTTGAAAAGGTAATGAAATGTCTGCAAGCAAACAACCAAGCTTAGAGAGCACCAAGGACTCCACAGTTCAACCCTGAGCTACATATATTCTCTCCTGTTGAAAAGGTAATGAAATGTCTGCAAGCAAACAACCAAGCTTAGAGAGCACCAAGGACTCCACAGTTCAACCCTGAGCTACATATATTCTCTCCTGTTGAAAAGCTGAAATATTTTTTAAAAAATGTCATTACAAGTAACATGATCAGCAAATTAAAGTAGTCAGGGAAATCACTTGAAAAACAAGGAGCCAGAGTATATTTAAAATTAATCCAACTCCAGGTAGCCCTCCTCCCAATATTTTCATCATATGCCTAAAACTAAACAAGTCAGGAATCATACTATTCCCCCAAGGGAAAAAGTCCACCCTGGAGAGGTCTGTGGCAGGAAAGGTCTTGCCTCACTTCCTTTAACCCAACTCAAGCTACAGATAATGTCATAATGGGTGAGGTAGTTAGTCCATTAGATATTCTGGATGAAATCATTTAGGCCTGCAGTGGTAAATTGTGCTTGGAAACAGCGCTGCATTTCAGACATGTTATCTCTTTATCCGTTTGACATACCATTCCTTTTTAAAATTTTGCAATGACTATGTTCTTATCAAATACAGAATATTATAAGACTCCAAAACTTTTTACATACCATCCTCCAGAACAAGAGCATCTGAGAGAGAACTATCTTCACTGGCAATATTTCCATCTAGGAAGCAAAGAGACACAGAGGAGATCCCATCAACAAGGAAGTTCATCAGGGCTTATATACCTGAAGGCAGATAATGAAAGAAGAGCTATCTTTCTTCAGATCCATCCTGTTAGCCTAGGGAAGGGGAATCTGTAGATATCTGGATGCTGCAGTACTACAACTCCCAACAGCCCAAGCAAGTATTGCCAATGGCCATGGATTTTAGGAGATGTAGGACAGCCAAGTCTGGAAGCCCACCTATTCTCCATGCTTGCTTTAGCATGCTATTTCTCATAGGAAGATGTTTCCAAGAAATGCACAAGCAGGACATGAAGTCAATGGTTTGACTACTGCCCCTTAACTATTAAGTTCATTGATGATAAACAGACACTGATAGGCCTATTTATCATTAATTTGACTATTTTTAATAGCTTTGTAAATCAGTGACCTTTTAAGTGGGGATCTTAAACAAAATTTTGCACTGAAAAAAATTAATCCAAAATTAAGTATTTATTTACCATTGGAATTGTTTTGAGTTGTAAACACAACTCCCCTTAGCCGATGTTGTAATCACAACTCCTCTTAGTGCAAACTTGCTGGTCAAAAATATTCTTCAATAGAAATCTTTGAGTGCTTGAGGGATAGGGACAAATGGATGTCAAGCCCAGTGAAATCCCAGCCATCACTGTATTTTTTCTATTCCCATTTTTCTTTGGGGCTGCTTGTGTGAGATTGCAATTCCATTTAGCACAAATATGCAGGTTCTCAATCAATAATTGCACTTGGGCCCTATATCCTATTATCAATTTCCTGAATTTAATACTCATGTGGCTAGTTGCTGAGGGGGTGAGGAGGTTCTGGACCATGAACATGAGGTGGTTGCAGCAGGCCATGTGGTGGACTTCCATAGATCATACTTTGAGAATCTCTCTTCCTGGAAATGGTTTCCCCATTATTTCTTTAAGCCACTGTTTCTCAACCTTGGCCACTTAAACACGTATGACTTCAACTCCCAGAATTCCCCAGCTAGCCATGCTGGCTGTGGAACTCTGGGAGTTGAAATCCATCCATCTTCAAGTGGCCAAGGTTGAGACACTGCTTTAAGCAGCCTATAACCAAATCTACCAATCTCTAAACTCCAACCCATGTAAAGAAAATACCAGGATATCACAGAATGTCCATTTTCTTTACCATCTATGATCAGCGAGGCTCTTTGGGTTGGCTTTTTCCCAGACCTGATACGGTACTCATTGATGGAATTTTCAATCTCCTGAAGCTTCTTCAGTGCATTAAGGTAGGAGGTTTTCCTTTGTTTCTTCAGCTTCTTGCTGACATTGGGCTCGCTGGCTAAGCGTCGAGCAGCTTCAGTGATCTGTGACTGAATGGCAAATTCTCTTTCCAAGCGTTCCAGTTCCGCTTCCTGTCGAACAGGAAATAATGGTCAGTGTGTCTCAGGGTCTGCTGTTCTATAAGCTACTTTCACTGGATTGGTATTGGATTGCGTTGGATCCCTGAAAAATATGACTGTTGTCTACCAGGGGAGTCAACTGGAATTATAATCCATCACAAAACTTTTTCTTGAAGGTATCATAATGCTACTCACTTCAGCTTCTGATGTCAGTGATGACTGTAATCATAATGCCAAATATTCTATCCAGCCTCACTTTAGCGAGATGTGGGATTCACTTTGCAATATGTTACTTAAAACTGTTTTTCTATGGGCAAGTCTGATGCTGCTCTAGACATGGCTAAACGGTGGTTACCAGATTTACTAGCATCCCTGGCATCTAAGGGAGGAACAGTGCTAGCATGGGAAAAACATCATTCATCAACCACAGGTTCTTCTTACATGTTTCTGGAGTGGTATGTGTGTGCATGTACTAGACCTTATGGTCTTGATATTCCTGGATTTTTCCTTGTACAACATGTTTCTAATTCACGGTCAAAATTCTTGGCGCACTGATTAAATACATATCTGAAGACAAGTTACAGAAACAACTTGGAAGGTCAGGCTATGCTCGAACTTCATGTCCCTCAGAGTTGTCAGTGCTTTACAAGGACATCCTCAGCAGAAACATTGGAGAGGTGGAGAAATACTTTTTCCCAACTTCTCCATTAGCTGCTCCACTAACAAGACAAGATCACACAAAAGCTAAAATTTTCAGAGGATAATATTGTTTTGAACTATATACCTAGTACATGGAACTTGACAACTGGACAACATAAATGGATTCTCCATGCCCTTACTATGGCCAAAAGACTGATACTGCAGCATTGGAAAGATAAATGTATGGCCCCATTCACTCAATGGATTGAAGACCTGATTGTGCTTGCCACTTACAAGTGGATTGCCTA